GCCTCCCGGTTCCCTCCTGCGGATGGAAAATCCGACAGTTGGCTGGAATCGTGGTTTCTCGGCGTACAAATCCAGCTGTGGCTTTCTTCTCAGTGCGACAAAACCCATCGTTTTCCTTTTTGTCGTCGAGCACTTCAGGACTGTTTGGGGGAGAAATGTGAGAATTCAGTTAAACTGCCCAGACAGAGTTGGGTTGGTTTTCTTAAGGTTAGAGAAGAAGTTGCTGCTGTGCCTGCCAGAAGAGAAAATTAGAGATGGGGAAGAGGAGGTTTTACTAGGGGAAGGGGTTGGCAGGCGGCATCTTGGCGTTCCTCCCTGTTAAAGAGGGGACTGATGCTTGGATGTGCCAGAGGGAGTGTTCCGAAGGGAAACCTAGAACAAAAAAAAGAATGGATAAAAGCCTAGTAACAATATTAAAATAATAGGGAATAAAAGCCTCTGCTGTGATGCACATCCTGCACAACAAGTCATACTGGTGCTGCATACCACGTGCAGCCTGCACAATTCCTCAAAAGCTCACTTAAAATCAGTTAAAAACAGTAGTAGTAATAAAAAATTAATACTAATCCATCCGCTCTTGCAGAGTTTAATAGAGTATTTATTTTTGTTGCTGTTCATGTGTCTCACGTGCTCCGGTTCTGTCCCGTGCAGCTTCCCGGTGGCAGTCTCCCTCGCTCGCGGAAGACGTACAGCCCGAAATCTGGATCGCGCAGGAGCTGCGGCGCATCGGCGACGAGTTCAATGCCTCCTATTGTCCGAGAAGGGTAACTTTCGTCTTTCTACTTTCCATTTCTTTACGCACGGCCTCTAAAAGGGAAGAGCTTAATCATCTCTGGAAACAAGTTCTGCGGCGCGCGTTTCGTTCGCTCAGACGTAGAAAAGGGTGCGCGGGTGGTTGCCTTCGCCTGGACGCAGGGGCGTGCTTGCCTGCGCCGGCGACTCCTTAAATCGATGTAAAGCAACCTTTAAACAGGGACTTGAGGCATCTGGGTGACAGGTTCACTGTGTCTTTCGTAGCACCCAAGGCTGGATTGGGGCTGGACCTGGCAATGATGAGGAAGAAACTTCTGGAAGTTGAATCGGAGAAAGTTTGGGGCTGTTGGGGTATTTTGGGGAAGAGCCCCTCTGGAAGTAGAGTCTGGTGGGGTGCCCAGCCTGGTGTTTTTAGGAAAATGGGCAGGGAGCAAGTGTAGCGGG